AATCCGTTATTGTGCCTGAAACATCTACACTTGTCTTTTCCCGTTTAGAGTGTGGCTGACATTATAGGAGTGAAAAGGAAACGGCACCAAAAAGGGTAGAAAAAAAGGTAGCCAATCCCTCTCACAACCGCTCCTCTTGTCATGAAATATCGAAAAAATTTCTTGCTCGCTTCGCTCGCGTTTAAACCAAAGTTTGAGACCGAACGGCGTGAACAAGTGTGGCTAACAGAGTGCTCATAGGGGGATGCCCGACCCACCAAGGCAGCAATAATAGAAGTGAACTGGCTGGAACTGGCCAAAAGAGTCTCCTAGTATTGCATAAATCCTCTAAAACCGGTCTTTTGGTTATAAAATACAACAAAAAATTTCGCTCGCTCCGCTCGCGGTTTTCTATAATCGGTACTCCCTATCATGATCCCTTAAAAAAGAGCATTTAACCCTCATATGTCCTGTCGCATAGTCAGCGCCAGCATTCACACACTCACACAGTCTCCCTTATTTATGTTTGAAAAGGAAGAAGGTTACAATGACGGACAGATTCCTGGATTTCATTTTTAAAGACGTAAAAAAATTGAAAATTGAAAACGTAACGAGGCCGGGGGGGGGGGGCAATATCCCAAAATAGGGCTCTGCTATGTAGGTACATTTTGCGCCCAAAAGGTAGGTACATAGAGTGATTTGCACGGGTACACAGGAAAATTGTGGGCGCCACTGCCAGCAGGTTTGGCGCGCGGGGGAGCGGTGCGTTAGGGGTTCGTCCCAACTTCCCCCCGCCGGCCAACAATCACTACTGTGCGCTAGGCCACGACCCGTCCAGGCGCTCCCAGCCCCACAAACAATATACACTCAACACTCCTCCAAGCGTGGCCTGAAGGTGGCCCAGGCCAGGGCCGCCGAGGCCTCGACTCCAACGACGAGCACCTCTACCTCTGGTTGCTGGGTCTAGCGCCCTAGCGAGGGCGATCACCACGTCGCCACTCACTCGCCCAACAACTGCCTGGTCTCGCAAGGGAACTCATAAGAAGTGTTAGTCCCCCAATTTTGTTCCGCCTGCTTGGGGGTTTTGTGAG